ACTGGCTGTTCTAATACTGTCCACACTATTCACTGTACAATATGTTTCTAAAAGTTATCCTTCCTCCTCCTCCTCCTCCTCGTCCTTCGTTTCGCTCCAGTTCTTGCCTCCTCAGCTCTGTTCAAACACATCTAAGTGCTGTAAGACTTCTTTAAAAACTCCTCGTAGTCTAACCCCAGTTTCCTGACACCTCGGACTGGCCCTTCAGTTTATGCCCAAATCCTACTACTGCTACTGCTGCTACTGCTGCTACCACTATGGGGGATTTCACTCAATCTTGTGCTTATTCTCGTGATACTTAGCCAAAAGTAAAGCCGTTTTAATAGCTTTACCCCGACACGTTGATAGGAGAATATGCTTTGGTAGATCTGTTTGGGAGGAGGGCGAGTTAAACTTGGGGGCCTACACTCCAGCCAATCAGGGGCCTCTAATACGGTTCAGTCAGCAGCATATTTTTACAGTGCAGTAGCGTTAGCGCAGGGCGTTTGACGGGGCCTCCACAGCTCAAGATTTAAAATGTCATCTGTGGTAAATTAAGAGCTGCTTGAGAAAGTGAAAGGTGCCAGCTAAGCACGAGGATACTTACTTAAATGTGGTTAAAGAGGTGTTACAGGGCGGCGGGGGTGGGCTCTAAACATGTTTAGTTCAGTTTGGTGAATCTCTAAAAAAATAAGAAAAAGAAATGCTCAAGTAATGTTCATCATTCATCAGTTCAACTCCTCAAAATATAAAGTAATGTTGATGCCAGAGAACATTTTGTATTCTACAGTCTATGGTTGATATATATATATATATATATATATATATATATATATATATATATATATATATATATATATATATATATATATACATACATACACACACACATATACTATATATATATATATATATATATATATATATATATTTACAGACTCAGGGTCCAAAGCCCACACACCCACAATACACTACATTCATATATAAAAAAAAACCCACATATACCCACACACATAAAAAAAACAAAAAAAAAAACTACAGTGACATAAGGTCCAGTAGAATTAAAATATATACATTTCCAGATGTCAGAGTAATATTGGGCGTCACTTTCCTGAATATCAGTCAAGCACGTTATAATTTCATTTCTTGATTCATTTAACCTCCACATACATTTATACATGAGGTTCCTTATTAGAGCCTAGAACGTGGGAATATTTGCAGTAACAAACAAAGCACTGGCACTTTCCCACCTTGGAGTCTTTAGCATCATTATCTGCCACCGTAATCTTATTCATGTTTGTGCTGCTGTAATGACACCACAGGTGAGCTGTGTACAGTGGGGTACAGTATGATCTAAAAAGAGTTGTTTTGACATCATTTGACATCATACACATGTGGAGTTTGTGTGCCAGCATATTCATTTGTGAATAGAGTTTGCAGCACTGATGCTGATGCCATCACCATCATCACAGGAGTCATTTCTAATAATATGACCCAACTATTTTGTTCTTGTTACATTAGTCAGCTGATTCTCATTTAAATAAAATGACGGGACGCTTAACTTTTGATCTTCCTTAGTCCTGGCAAACATGACAACACTCTTTTTGGAATTATATTTTAAATCTACAATATACAATATAAGGCAGGAGAAATGATCTGAACATTGTTGTGTTATTTACCTTAGGCCTGTATGTTGTATCTGTTCTATATGTTGTAAGTAACAGTTAATATGAAATAATAACAAGATAGTAATCGCTATATTATATTATATTATATTTATTATATCATATCAAATAATGGCTGTACTGAAATTTGAGGAGCCTTCTTTATTGCCAGATCCAAGTCACACAGCACAAATTTATGTCCTTCTACCAGAACAGTAGAAGTTCAAGAACAAAGAATAATCACAACTTCTTTTAGTATAAATGAAGTGAAAAGAACAAGGAGGGAGAAAATGTGAGCTTTCTGTCACTTTTATTGATGTTCACAAACTGTACACATTACATCCTTCTCAAACATCACTTTACAATGATGTTCAAAAGTCACAGAAGTCACTTCTGTCAGTCAAAATGAGATATTTACACACTGTCTGTGCATTACACGGTCAAAACAAAACAGGTGGAAGCTCATAGAGGTTAGCAGTTATAGGGACAAATTTGGAGCCCATTTGGAATTAGGAATAGGAATTGATTTGCAGACCAAACAGCAAAATAAAGCACCAGCACACACATTAAGTCTTTTTTTCATCTGTTGAGTTGAATTCTTTCAGTTTTAAGAAATTCCTTTAAACAAACAGATGATGCTGTTCTTTGTCACCAGCTGCACGGTTCCAGACAATAGCACACACATTTTTGTTCCACAATTGGAAACCTAGACTAGACCTGGTTTAATACTTTTTTGTTAAGAATGGAATAAGAATATTTGATGTAGTCTTAAAACAAAAATACAAAAAATGAAAAGGAATAAGTAGAACTAATGCAGATTCAACTATGATATCATCCAATTCATTTTCCTTTCCAAAATCATACATTAAACCATCAGTTTGATTTAGTCCACATGTATACAGTATATTTGCCTGTTCTTTTGGAAGAAATAAAGTCATTCTTCCATTTATATAACGTTTTTGTTGTGTAAAACATGAATCTCTGTCACCACAATGACAATATGATAGTCCAAGTCCATCACAGCGACTGACACAAGGAGCTCAGGGGAGAGTTACTTAGATCCTGGGTCTATTTTCAGAACATGTTAATTGTGAAAATGTAGTCACTGAACTGAAGACAAGAAGAGCACTTCATTCATTAAGAAGTGATTTTCCAAGCCTTTAAAAGAGCATTAAAGATACTGCAAGGATTTGTGTGGGCTAAACTAGAATGGGTCTATGCAACTAAACCAGGACTACTCAAGGTCTAAACTAGGATTAAACCAGGTCTAAAACAAGACTTGACAGATTTGCATGGGGAGAAACCTAACCCAAAAATTGTCCTTGTTTCACACCAGGTCCATATGAGACTTGCAGTCCGTTGGAGAATTAAAGGTGCACTATGCAACTTTTCTGGTAGATGGTTTGTCAGCTGCTTGTCTCCATAAAGATGTTATTTATAATGTCTCACAGTTACGCATTCAACTTTTCAAATTTTCTATCCCCATGAAAACAAGTAGGGGGTGTAACCAGGATACTTTAAACATAGTGGGTGGACTAAACTAGAACAGGTCTAAACTAGATCTAAACCAGGACTAGAAGGACTAATGAAAGGTGTATTGTCCTGGTTTGGTCCTAGTTTGATGCTGGTTTAGTCCTGGTGTATGAATTTCCAGGTTCAGAGATGGACTAAACCAGGTCTGAACCATAGGCTGGATTAAGAAATGGACAAAGGGAGTGTGACAAATGAAGCTCACAAGGCTAGTGTTTATAAGGGCAAATTTGGAGCTGAGATCCATATTAAAATATAAATGTATTCACAGACAAAACTGCAAAGTAAAAACCCCACAGGATTCTGTAGAGCACATTGATATGAACATTTTAAAACCATAATGCCAAGGTTTACTGCAGCATTTCTAGGGAAAGGGGTGACAGTTTTAAATGTCAAGTAAATTGAAGCCAAACTCCGTCCTATTTGGAAGGCTGTAGTTAGTGCGTTAGCTATGTCCATTTATTTCTACAGTCAACAGTCTAAACCAAAACTAAACCAAGACTAGATGGACTTTTTTGGATGTGGAGTAAAAAAGAGAGAGATGATGATATGAGGCTTACAGTATAGTGAAGAATTAAAGGTGCACTTTGTCACTTTTCTGGCAAGCTGCTTGTCTCCATGGCGATGCAATTACTGTGACTACAGAATGTTCCATAACACGACACTGAACTTATCTATCTCCATGAAGATGAGAAAACAAGTCAACTTCCCAATCAGATCAGAGGAGATTGGAACCTGCTCACAGTAGAAATCCATGTTTTTCCAGATATTTTGAGCCATAAAAGCATTTGTCATTTAAACTGATGCAAGAATCATACATTTAATACCATATTGTGGAATATTCCATGCAAAGAACTAACATCTTCATAGAGACAAGCAGGCTGCCACCAGAAAAGTGGAAAGAAAAGAAAATACTTTTAAATTTGCATTAAGATACACAAGACAACATGCACTCTTGTACATTTTTTATTTGAAATTATTATTCTATGCCATTACAAAAGCATAAGGTTTGAAAATCCCATTTGTTTTTTCTAGCAATTAATTAATTTAATTCTGGCAGTTATTATTTTGATTAATTCTCCAACACCAACACTTTTTCTCATTACAAATGAAGCTGTTTTCAGTTTACTTAGTTGGTAAAATAAATAAACTCATGTTTGAACAGTAAGGCAGCATTTGTAGCAGTTATAAAATAGAGTTTAAAAAAGTATTAACTTTCCATCCCCTAACTGAACACTTGCGTCAAAGATCTTGTAGCTGTGAACAAAGCCAGACTTAAGTTAATTCCTGTTATTAATTATTATTTATAGGAGTGGGACATTAACGTGTTAATTGTGATTAATTAGGCAAGGCAAGTTTATTTGTACAGCATCATTCATACACACAGTAATTCAAAGTGCTTTACAGAATAAGAAATATATTAAAATCAAAACATAAACAAATCAAAACATAAATAATCATCATAAAATTAAAAAGAGAGAAAAAAAGCAATAAATGAGAGAGAAGAGTGCAGAATGAAAAATGAAAACCTTTCAGTCAGACGCAGTTAAACAGAAGTGTTCAGAGTCTGGATTTAAACAGAGTCAAAGTCGAGTCTGTCTCACATTTTCAGACTGTTCCAAGTTTTAGCTGCATGAATCTGAAACTCTGACTCCCCGTGTTTAGTCATGACTCTGAGCACCAGCAATTAATTCATTAACTACAAAGAAAATAATGCATTAAAAATATGAACGCATTTGATCGCGGTTTGTCAACCAACGCGGAACGTTTCTCAGTTTACCAAATTCTGGTACGACACTTATACTGACGCACACACTTCCGACAACAACAATGGCGCAGGAACATGAGCAGGAAAGTGTCTGGGTCTGAGTTTTGTTTTTTTTAATTCAATATGTTCAGGGACAGGGACATCGAAGACACACAAAAACACAGAACTAACACAGAGGACACCTGGGCTGATATGCAGTCACTTACACAAGAGACAGAGAGAATAAAAACAAGACAAGACCACGAAACCAAGTCTACTTAACCAAATCAAAAGAATTAGAACAGTATCACATCTTATGTTACAAGTATTTCCTATCGATATTGTATGTTTTAATAGCTTTTTTTGTTTTTGACCTGTTTTACTGTTTGGGAATATTGTTGTATTTGGTTATTATAAAGGTGCTCATTTGTTTTTTTAAGCGCTGTGGATCTGCTGGACGGGACATTTCTATTCCAAAAACGACCCTGGAAGTATCGGCAAAGGACTAGTTTATTGCAAACTGTGCAGAGGAGAGATTGATATCACAGAAGCACCTCAACCCTCCGACACCACTGAAATGAAACCTGTGACAGAAGAGAAGCTGCTCCGAGTCCAAACAAGACACAACCCAAACTCAAATGACAGGCCTCAGGAAGAAAAGCAGTAAATAGAGCAAATATTGTTATGCGATTAATTGATCTTAATTCATTATAAAGCCAGTAATGAATGAGATTAATTGTTTTAATCAAGTCCCAACCCTCATTATGTATGAACCTGGTATTTTCTTTGTTTAATCATTCACCTTGTACCAGACCAGTAGAAGTTCAAAACCAAAGAATCACAACAGAATAAATAAACTGAACGGACTGACGAGGGAGGAAATCTTGTATTAAAGTTTACAGTAATCCACTTTTATATCACTAACTACATGTTTGACTAGATACAACAAGGCCAAAAAGAGACATGCATGTGTGTCCACGTCAAAACAAATACAGCTGCTTCTGAGGAAAAAATATCAAACGGACTGTAAAACATGACAGATTTCTGTTGTATGTTAATCTGAGGTGAGAGAAGTTTCATTTTAGTCTTTTATGTGTTTTATGCCTCAGACTCTCCTTTTGGTATTTAGTGGTGATTTGGCCTGTGCTGTGCCTTTTGTGATTACAAACAATAACTGAACTGAAACTGTGACCAAGACAATTTAAATGTCACAAAATTAAAAGTTGCTTGTGTGAAAATAAAGTGCATAATGCTTCAGATAATAGTTTCACTGTTTAACAGCAGAAATATAAGAGTTTGACTGAATCTATATTATATTATATTATATATATTATAACATAACATCAAGGTAATATATATGCTGTAATTGCAGGTGTAAATATTGAATGAGGATGGTAGTAAATATGTATTTTTACTTCCATTTTGAGCAGCCAGTGTCTATACACTATGTCATGTAAATTGAAATGTGTAGACATTTCTTTTGTGTTCTGCTTGCTTGAAATAAAATAACCAATCAGATTTTTATATGATTAATTAAGCTGATAACTACCATGTGTTTTGTTCATGCATGTCATACAAGGTTGCCCAAAGACCCAACAACATTTTGCATTATGCATGGGTATGTCTGGACTGGAGCCAGGATCAAACTATCAACCTTTTCTAATAGACTACTTGTATGGCAATCTGAGAATGAAATGGTAGATACAATTTCTTATGTATGTTGTGAACACACATTCAAACTGCATATTGTTAAAAAAGTAAAAAAATAAATAAACAATCATAAATAGCATCATATCCATCTAATTCAACAGTACATCTTCCATATGCAGTACAGTTTTTGATAGATTGAAAAGGTTGCTAAAAAACAGATACTACTGTGGAGATCTATTAAATATATTGAAGAAGCTTTATAGGCCCATAACAGCACATTATAAGTGACAGGGTGATTCTGCTAAGAGGCTTATTGGAATAATGAGTGTAGTGGTGTCCGGTGGCAGTGATAGAGCTTAAAGACAGCAGGGAGGGGGAGCAGAGATACAAGAGAAGACAAGCCCCCCGCTGTGAGCCCTGGAGGGTGGGGGCCGTTTATGTCACTGTTAGGGCCAATATCACTGAGCAAGATAGTATAATTTGGGTTAAAGTACATTTACAAACATGACTGGAACTTCTTTAACACACCCACTAGTGCTGCCATGACATAAAAATTTTAACTAAGACTTAGACAAACTTTATTGATCCAAAAGGGAAATTATTTGGACACAGTAGCTCACACGTCACGATTTATTATTATAATAACAAAGAGCAAATATATAAATTATAATAATAATGATAAAAGTATAGCAAGAGACTAGTGCCAAATAAGGTGTAATTATATAAATGTCGTCCAAGTATGTTTCATAGTATTCCTAGTCTATGTGCTCTTAAATTTCTGATACAGCTCAAGATCATTCAGGAAAGGTTCATTTTTGTCCTGTGAATGTGACTTGTTTTGTATTGATTGCTCAAATGAGTATCGAGTTTCAGTACTAGTTTAAATATTGATTGGTGTCTGATTTTCAGTATTTCTAACAACTCTACTTATAATACTCACTGTATATTTAGACTCGCCTACACCGTTATATTATTATTGGAGACTTTGGAGTGCAATACCAATATAATCCACTGGAGGTCAACCAAACACTGAATCTGAAAAAAAAATAGAGCGTTTATAATTTTTTTTTTTAAACTCTTAAGCTGTTTCTAATAACGTTAAAGCATTAAGTCAAAAGATTAATAAAGAAGCATCTTATCTAGCAAGAAAACAGTGGGCTCGTCCGGGATTTGAACCCGGGACCTCTCGCACCCAAAGCGAGAATCATACCCCTAGACCAACGAGCCGCCTACAGTGACTTGAAACTATAGAGTTTATGACGGTATAGACACGGAAATGATTTAATCTTTACATATGTCATAGAAAAGTGATTAAATTTATCACTACTTCGCAATAAGCCTAGCTAATGTGCTGCTTGTCAATTATATACAGATTTAAGGCCAATATTCTACAAGAGTCACGTTCTAGAGCTAACCATAGAATGTACATGGTTCTAACTGACCTGCTAAAGCACACTTATTATTAGCTTGATTTATAGAAAACACACATTTAAATTATATTTTCTGTTAATGTTATTATTTAGACATACATACCAAAAACGCCAAACTGATCATGTTTTAAAAAATCACGTTTCAAAGAGTGTGAAAGGGCGCCCTCTATGGACCAGAAACAGGACAACTTTACTCTTAATACTTCATTTCATTCGCAGACGACAATTATAAATATAACTTGGGAATTTTGTTTGTTCCCATTTCTCATGAAAATTTCCCTTTTTGTAGCCAATCTCTCTACCTTCTGTTTTGGTATTTTAGTCACTGCTAGCCCGGACATCCTGTCTGTACTCAGAGGTGAGTACCATAGAACATGGTGGGTACTCACATGGGTACTTACTTACATTTACTCAGTTGCATTTACTTGAGTAACTTTTTTAAATAAACTTAAGAAAGTGTTTTTCTGGCAGCATTCTTTTACTCCTACTTGAGTATTATTTTTACTGAAGAAACAGTACTCTGTGAAAGTTTTGGTTGGACTCTTCCCACTGTGAGGAAGTCTACAAGTGACAAAAGCTTGTTCAGAATAGGCTATTACATTATCTGAACATTGTGTTTTTTGTCTCTTACTTGACTAGTATTTTTTCCAAACACTTTTACACTTACTTGAGCAATTTCTAGGACCACTACTTTGTACTTTGCGTTTTGACTACTCTACCCAGCTCTGTCTGTACTATATTATGTGTAAAATATATATAAATTATGTATATATATATATATATATATATATATATATATATATATATATATATATATTATATATATATATATATATATATATATATATATATATATATATATATATATATATATATATATATATATATATATATATATATATATATATATATTCATGATAATTTGGACGTCTCCGCTCTTGTAGTATGTCCCTGGCGCGTTGCATTCTGGTCTTGGTAGTTTTCTGACCCAGAGGAAGCTGTTGTAGTGGAATCTGAAGAATTTTTGAGGTGCTCCGCCGCCAGCTCAGCCTCGTCTGGATCGTGCTCTCCGCTGTTCTTCTCCACCACCACTATAAGGTAAAATAATCTCCACATTTTTCGCACAGATCGCATTTAAAACACATATTCCTCTGCGCCTTTTGTTTAGCTACCGCATTGAAACGCGCACACGCTAACATTAGCTCGTTAAGTTTACGCGTCCTTGGCTAAAGGCTTGTTACGGCTCAGAGAGTGGCCAGATCGGTCGGTTTAGCTTGATCTAATCATTAGCGATTTGTGTTTTAATCATTATAATTGGCTACTAAACAAGTTAACCAAAACATGAGCGATGAATGATACTAGCATCACTCAGTCCACACCCATTTCGACTCATCCCGTTATAAAATTGCCATATCAGGAAGTCGATCGTAACTTTTCCGACTAGATTTACAAATTGCAATATCATTTTGCATTCTACAACAAATCTAACACGATATTTAAGCTTTACCAACACTCTGATTCACTTGTAGCGTGTCATTAATCTTTAATAATGTAGTTTCACGTGGAGAGCTGAGGTTAAAATGCGTAAAACGTTCTAAAACCGTACGTAAAAGTTTTCAGTTAGATTTTGAACAAGAGTTTGCGGTGTTTTTTGTGTGTTGCTAGTTTTCTCACTCTGTCTACTTCCTGTCTCACAGTCACTCACTAAAGTTAGCCACATTTGCTCCCCTGGCTTTTGTTTTACAGTTCTCTAATACAGCGGCACTTAAACTTTTCACACAAAGTACCATTAAAGAAAATATTTGGCTTTCTGACTACTAGTACCACAAGATCTAAAACAAGAATATAACAGGACTATTCCGGGTCTAATCTAGGGCTAAAAGTGGTATTAAAGTGGACTACATCATTTCCACTGTAGCTCTAAATAGTGTTGTCATAATATTAAAATTTGATACTAAGTAACAGGCTCTAAACTCAGATTATGATACAATAATTACAATAAAAACACTCTTTATTTAGACCATATAAGGTAATTTTCAACATTAATTACCATGTGACCTTTCATCTCTGTAATCGCTCAGTCATCCAGGTATCTTCTACAGTAGTCCATGGGCCTATATTGACTCATAATTCCACATATTTTCTGATAAAGCTCAAGATTATTCTAAAACTATTCAGGAAAGATTCATTTTTGTCCTTGTGTATGTGACTTTTTTTAGTAGTGATACCTGTTCAAATGAGTATTTTGTTTCGAGACTAGTATACTAGTATAGATTAGTACCTGATTTGTGATATTTTGGACAACCCTAGTTGCAAAGATAAAATACTAAATTAAAGAAACCGACAAACTGAAGAGCTGTTCAAGTATCACCTAAAGAAGCTTGCATACCACAGATTTGAGAAACAATGCTCTGATGGTTTTTGTCTGTATATTTTTTTTTTATAGATCCAAAGGGAACAGAAATGTCTCAGGGTGAAAAACTAAAGGTAAGTGTGGAGGAAATGATTACTACGTTGATGAAGAGTTGTTATGCAATTGTTCCAGATGCCTGTTTGGTTGAATAGAGCTGGGCTGCAGTTTAGACCGACATGCTGCTGAAGCTAATTTGACAAGGTTTTTGTATTAAAAAGTTGGTTAGATGGATATTTTTGAGTTGCACATTTTTACAGACGTTTATGACTACCAGCTGATGACCATTTTTTTATCTCCAGGCTGATATTATCTGTTTTACTGATTTTAGATTATTTAAAAAACTGTATTTGGCCTAAAGGCCAATGATCATGTAGCTGTTACTTCAAAATCTTCAATAAAACTCAGGCTAATTGTTATCTTTTCATTAGTATGCATTAGTGTTATATTTCCTTACTAAGAGAAATGCATAGATAACACTTCTGTACTCAACATTTTTTGTGTATTAATTAATTAATTCAATCACTCATTATTGTTTATATATATATATATATATGTGTATATATATATGTGTATATATATGTGTGTATATATATGTATATATATATATATATATATATATATATATATATATATATATATATATATATATATATAGCTAGCATCTCCATAGATCTGACCTGTAACTTGGTCTGGTTTGGTCTCCATGAAGATAAAACGCTTTAATACCATACTGTGAAACCTTCCAGACAAAACAATAACATCTACATGAAGAAAAGCATATGATGGAAACCAGAAAAGTTACACAATGCACCTTTAATAAAAGTTATTGATTTGCATATTTATATTCCATCAATTCCTGATGTCTTTTAAGCTGTATTTACTGCTGAATTCTTGTATTTCTCCTGTTTTAAATATTCATTTAATACCGTGTTATAAAGTTGTGCACATTTAAAATTAGAAATATTTTACAAGCTGTACATCAAAAAGTTTTAGCATAGCACTACTATTATAATAACTTCTACACTTAAAAGCACAGTCTGTAATTTCGACAAAGAGACATGACAGCTAGTTATTACGGCTCAGAGTCACCCGCTCGCACAGTCTTTGCCTCTGGGATTTTCTTCTATGTTTATGGCTCTTCTCCACAGAGTTTTTAAAGGGCCCATTTTACACTGTTTTCTGATACATGTTGTGCTGTTTCCTCATCACAAACAGACCTGTAGTTGTGTTTTGTTTCATTCACACTTGTTTAACTTGCAAATTCTGCACATTTAAGATGAGTTCTTCTCTTAAACTGAAAGTCTGTTCCACCTTTCCACCTTATGATGTCATGTGGTAATACAGGTTCTGGTTCTTAAACGCCATACACCTTCCCTCATTTGGATGATAGCAACCCTTGAATTGCCAATCTGTACTGAACAAAAGCTAAAGGCTGTTAACTTGAAAGTGGTAACTACATGACATCACAAGGTGGAATAGAGCGTTTCGAGCTTTGGAGATGTGGATGGACTAATAATGCCAGATTACTCAAGCATGTGTGAATGAAGAAAAGCTCAACTTGTTTCTGATGAGATAACAACATAAAAAAACACTTAAAGGTTACAAGTCAATTCTGTGTAATACTGGACCTTCAAGTTGCCATTTTGCATTTCCTTGTATTGAAGCGGTCCTTTAGCAGAGTAACACAATGGCGAACGCGATACAAAGGCGTGTGTAGTTTGCTCTTTGCTGAAGTCCTGGCTGCATAATAAAGTGTTCTGAGTGCAGATGTCTGATAAGCCCTGTTCAGTCTGTACAGCCTCAGCGTCGTCATGACGATGGGAAAACCCTGTGTCTGTGGGAAAACATGTGGGCCAGTGGGTCCGGTTCAAGGGCTGTCTTTTGCTTTAGGTCATGTTTAATCCTGTATTCCTTTTGGTTTAGATCTGGTTTAGGCCGGGCCTGGTTTAGTCCTGGTTTAGACCTCGATTAGACCAGGTTTAGATATGATTTTATTGTCTTGCTTTAGTATTTAGGTCATGTTGAGTCAAATCCCAGTCGAGTCCTGGTTTAACTTTTGATCTGATATTAGTTTAGTCTTTAGGTCATATTTAGTCCTTGATTTCCTTTTGATTTAGTTCTGATTTAGAAATGATACTATATACCTACACAATTCTCACTCATTATATTGAGAGTTATAAGAGGGTTTTTAAATGATCGTTGTGATTTGAAAAGGGTTTGGAGTAGGGGTGTAATGATCCAAGTCTCACGATACGATATCGTCACTGTATGAACCTCACGATACGATATTTATTGCGATATCATGGGAAAGCTCACGATTAGAGATGCAACAATATCCAAATCTCTCAGTACAATATTTTCACAATATACATCTCACGGTACGATATTTATTGTGATATTTTGTGGAGGCAAAACAAACAAAACTATGATTATGCTACTAAGACTTAAAAGTGTTAGAACTGTTATTTCTTCTTGTAGTCTGCACTGAAATGGAGCAAAGGATCATGGTCTATGTAGTTCCCTCTGTCTTCTTTTTAGCTATTGCTGCACCATAACTCTTCATTTAAGGAAAGAGACTTGTAATTCAATATATTGTGATGGTTCACGATATTATTGTGAGAACTTTGACGATACAATATCACGATATTTCAATTATTGTTACACCCCTAGTTTGGAGTATTGAGCCTGTTTCTTAGTATTGCATTTGAAAATGATTGTGCCAACTAGCTTTGCTTTGGTCTTGCTTTGGTTCTGTCACTTGTCACACTCTGTCCAGGCAGGACTGGTTCATGTGACAGAAAAACCCTAATTGATAGTTTTACTTTGTATTTTGATCACAGAGCATTTGAAATAATCTCTCTGAATCCAGGTTTAGTCCCAGTTTAGTCCCAGCTTTGATGTGGTGTGAGCAAGTGTGAAAACAGTCGTCTTGTCAAGATTTAATCATGGTTTAGACCTAATAACAGTGTCCTGCTGCAGCCATTATATTGTACTGGTTTTAGTCATTGTTTAGCTCAGGTTTGTTCATCACAGTTGAAAATATACATATTTTTGTCAGGTTGGCTAAAATTATTGTTCATTGTCTACTCATAACTAAGGAAGCTGTTCAGGGACACATGTGTGGATGATGATTGCCAGACTAACCCTTGTCTTCCTGTTTCTCATTTGCAGCAGGGTCAGTTCACAAACCCAGAGACCCCGGGATATGTGGGCTTCGCTAATTTGCCAAATCAGGTTCACCGCAAGTCCGTGAAGAAGGGCTTTGAGTTCACGCTGATGGTGGTCGGTGAGTGTGGACTGTTCTGTGGTTTTTGTTTCATATCACTGTACACTGCCACAGGGTTGGTTTAGAAAATGATAGTTTATATTTCAGTTCAAATTTCACTTTTCTAGATGTTGGTGTCCAAAGAATACAAAACTTATATTAATGTTTTGCCAGTTTTTGTGTGCATGTGCAGGGCAATACAGCACATGAAAACAATAGAGAGGTCCGGAAAATAATATAACCCAATGTACAGTTGGATTTATTGTTTAGTGTAAAAATTTAACCCTATCCAAATTGTTACACTACTCAAACAAAGCAAAGAAATATCAGATCAAAAGCAGATTTATTTATAGAGCCAAAGCTTACCAATAATATCACACTGTATAATATAGTTTATAGATATTGTCTTATTTTATGTACTACAATATTAGGGACTGTACGAGATCTTATGTAACAATGTAAGAACCTCTCTCAAACCAGGACATATGTATTGTTAAAGCAGCTCTCAAAATAAGACTACTGTGCTGTCTGCATATAATTATAAAGTATTTTTATTGGCCGTGAACCAGGAAGTAAGTCTGGTGCGCTGTTAGCATGGTAGTTGTTGTTAGCAGTTGTGTAAAGCTTCACTTTGGCCTCCTCAAAATTATTAAGTGCTTCTAACTTGTGGTAAATAATAGGAGTAGGGGTGTGCAAAATATTGAAATATCAATAAATCCTATCAATTAATGTGATAATACAGTATCGATATCGTGGGCTGCTGTATCGATATATCACCAAGAGTATTTTTTGGTATATTTTAGCTCAGTTGTTTTGTTACAGCTACAGTTTTGTTGTTTGTTTTGAGGACAGAAACTCGTTTATGTGACACATTTGACTTTTTTACTGTTTTGATGATTAAAATGTTTGTGTTTCATATGAACTTTGCACAAGAAGTGGTTTAACAAAGACTTTTAGTATCACAGACACGATTTAGACATTATTTTTTATTGAACTGTATCGAATTGATTTGAAATATATCGTATCGAATTGAAAGTGCACTGTATCGGTATGTATGAATCGTATCGGCAACTTCTTAATGATACCCAGCCCTAAATAGGAATGCCATTACAAACTGTATTAATACAATATTACTGCTAATTAATTACTATACTAATATATATTTTTTATTTTTAAGGGAAAATTGGTGAAAATAATTCAATTTGAAAGAATTTGAAGCTTGTAATGTAAATATAGATTATAATATGTCTTAACTTCAGCTTGTTTTAGCCTGTTCAATTTATTCCACAAATCACAAATGATGAGTTTAGTGATTTTAGCATCTGCAGTGGTTGCTGTGGTGTTCATGATAATTGTGCTTCATCACAAAACTTCAAATATCCCTATATTAACTATATATTAACTTCCGTCCAAATATATTTCCCAGCCTTTATTTCTGGCTGTGTTGAAACCCTCGAGCTCTTGTAGTACTTGTTCTACAGTGGCAGCAGCAGTTGTACATGTCTGGAGTGATGTAAGTGCATGTGGCAGCGCCTGGTCTGCTGCAGTCTTGTTCTGACATAACAACAGAGCTGCTGGACACAGGATCTCAGCTCTTCACAACTGGGTCACATGACGCACACACTCTGACCTGCTTTGTTACACTCTGCTCTCTCTGGGGAAAGCAAACCGAAATTAGAATTTGAATTAACACAACTGGGAAATCACTGCAAAAGGCTGCAGTTTAAAAAGTACTCACAACCAACAAAATCTCCTTTCTTATTCTTCTTATTATTCATTTAGATTTGGACATGTTCTGAAATACATGTGATTTGTAATTGATAGTTCACATTTCTTTTGTCAGTTTGCTAAATCCACATATTATCGTTTGAACAGGACCCAGGAGAGATTGCTAAAATACTAAAACATGAATGACGTCTAAAACCTCTTCAGGCATGTTTTTTGATGAGGGAACAGTGTTATAACACGGTAGAAAGCTAAAAAAAAAAAAATCTGTTTCGCATAATACTCCCTCTTTAAGCCCCAGCTCGCTCCACACCAGGGCTGGCACGTCTCTCTCTCCAGGTGTGCCTCCTCTGCTGACTGGAAAATCATCATGTAGACCTAATGTTAGCTCCAGCTGCAGATGGAGGGAGAGAGGAGGAGGAGGAGAGGGGGAGGAGAGAGGCGGAGGGTGGGAGCTCATCCTTTGTCTCTAAATTAAGGCGAGGAATGCAGTGTATGGGGCTGGGGGCTGCTGGACCCGGGCCCACCCCCTCTGTTGGTTTAACCTACTGTTGGCCTGAGCTATAAACTACAGGCTTCCTCTTCTACTTTTTTTCTTTGGCTCCACAGAGTTATGAAGTTCCCAGAGAACTTTTACTACGACTGAGTTTACTTTACTATTACTGAGTTTACACTTATGATAAAGTTTGACTGTCAGTTTCCTTATTAGTGTTAGTTCGTGTTATTATTTTATTTGAGCAGAAAGAATCATGTTTAGGTTTGTTATGAATGTCTGACAAAAAAGTAGTTTCACTTTCCTCAACCAGTTTCACTTTTGCGGCAACTTAGTCTTTAAAGGCAAAAACTTAACTCCACCTAAGCCATGTTAGAATATTCTTACCTCCTCAAAAACATACTTGGAGTTGTATTTTGTTTCATTCACACACGTTTGAGTATAACTTTATTATTAATCTGTCTCCAAAACTCAAAGTTGGTAGTTTTCAAGTTAAGTCACCGTTTAATTTAAGTTTAGTAGAGATTGGCAACTCCGGAGCTGAAAATGATCCAAATGATTCTAGTGAAGGTGTGTGGAGTTTAAAAACACAGTGGAGCACTTCCTGTATTAGCACATGACATCACAAGATGGAACAGAGTGTTTTCTGTTTGAGAGAAGAACTCAGCCTAAATTAGGGCAGGGTATCAGTAAGAAGTTGCCGATACGATACACAGGCCACAATACGATACATACAGCGCACTTTTGATTCAGTACGATTATATTAAAAATCTATTCGATACAGTTCAATAAAAAATAAGGGTTAAATCATGGCTGTGATACTGAAAGTTTTTGTTAAACCACTTCCTGTGCAAAGTTCAAACATTTTAATCATCAAAACGGTGAAAATGTCAAATATGTCACGTAAACAAGTTTCCTTCCACTAAACAAGCAACAAAACTGTATCTCTGTAACAAAATAATTTAGTCAAATATACCAAAAAATACTCTTGATGATATATCGATACAGCAGCCCACGATATCGATACTGAATCATCACATTAAACAATACAATATATCGATATTTCAATATTTTTGAACACCCCTAGCCTAAATGTGCAGGGTTTTTTTGTGTGTGTTAAACATGTGAATGAAACAAAACACAACTCCAGGTCTGTTTGTGATGAGGAACATTAGAACAGATTAGAAAATAGTGTAATATGAGCCCTTTTTCTCTTCATGTACAGTTCTGTTTGGATGCTGCTGAGTCACTTTAAATAAAAAAAAATGAAAAAATGAAAAAACAGCTCTAGTTTAATCTATTTTTAGAGCAGTTTGAAAGCACAACGCCTTCTTTGAGTCCTTAAGTCAGCCCAGACCAGGTGTACCTTTTCTAATTGTTGGTTCTTATTATGTGGCTCCTGGGTCCTGTTTGCTTTTCCCATAAGTATCAGGTGGGTCATTGTTGAGGTGGAGTTCTCCCTGTGGTCCTGCTGTGCGTCACTGTGGTGCTGTTTCCTAACGTGATATAACATTTATAATTCATCTTTGGGAGTTCAAGCATCAATAATAAATGGGCAAATATATTTAAAGGTCTAACATTTTGGTTGGGAGTCTGTCACCTTCTTGTTTCTGTGGCTATGTCATTGCTCTGCTTCAAATGTTCCACAGTATGACTTTAAACTGCTCTACCTTACATGTATTTGATTGCAATTTGTGGTTTTAATACTCAATAATAACAGAAAAACAGGCTTTATGACTCTGAGCTGGGTCGCGTCACCACAGATCTGACCTGTAACTTGACCTGGTTTGGTTTTCGTGATGATCCAAAGGTTTAATACTGTGAAACATCTCAGCATCTCAAAGCCCTCCACCAGTAAAGTTACACAATGAACCTTTCAATGAAAAACACAAATGTACACAACCATTAAATGTTTTTGTCCTATAATTGAAGGAAAAATAAGCTTTCTTTTCTTATTTAGGAATATGAAACCTAATAACTAATATATATATATATTTTTTTCCCATGATGCTGCAGGGCTACCATAGTATAGTATTTGTGTAAAATCCCTCAGTTGTCCAGGTAGAATCTAGCCAAGCTGGTGCCACCTAGTGCCTCCGCTCAATTTAATTTCTCTCCAGCGACTAGATCAGGAATCAGAATACACTAGACGGTTCGCAAAAACCCCAGAAGTGCGAGTTCGGGCACCAGCCAATCAGCGAAGAGTCATACATTCTGTGTTATCGACGATTCCTGAGATTGAGGATTTAAAGCTGGAACAAAGAGAATGTTTGGTGAATTTTATCAAGGGGAAAGACGGATTAGGTGATTTGGGAAAAGCTTAATATACCAGTAACCCCGTTAGCGGTGCATTACATACGTCATGACCAAATAGCAGCGATTGGTTAAATAAAAAAGTACCTGCCTACTGTTAAGTGAATGAATTCTAACACTGCAAGGTCCGAGGGTTTGTACGAAGTGAAACCAGCTGATGAATCAGACTAGGTAGAATCCATGACAAAAGGAGAAATTCAATTTGTCAACTGGACAAAAGTAAAAATCCAGTCCAGTTGACAAATTGAATTTCTCCTTTTGCCATAGTATAATATAGTAGTACCTTGATACCACAGCAGAACCATCTCGTATAATGTTTTATCTCAGTGTATTTTTCGTCATGTTCCCAGGTGAATCTGGACTTGGAAAGTCTACTCTGATCAACAGTCTTTTCTTGACGGACCTCTACCCAGAGAGAGTCATCCCAGGAGCAGCAGGTAGGGCCCGTGTGGAGTGAGATACTTAGGCCGTTATGTTTTTATTGTTGTCTTTGAGCTTGTGTTTCAACGTGCTTTGATGAAACAGAGAAGATTGAGAGGACGGTGCAGATCGAGGCCTCCACAGTGGAGATCGAGGAGAGAGGAGTGAAGCTGAGGCTCACTGTGGTGGACACGCCTGGATATGGAGACGCCATCAACAGCCAAGACTGGTACAGCTGAAACAACTAGACCAGATTTCAAGCAGGTCTGAACCAGATCAAAAACTCATATTATGCATGCTTCCTCTTTAGTTTCAGCACCATCATCAGTTACATCGATGACCAGTTTGAGCGTTACCTCCACGATGAGAGCGGACTGAACAGAAGACACATCGTCGACAACAGAGTCCACTGCTGCTTCTACTTCATCTCCCCACTGGGACACGGGTCAGATTTTTTTTTTTCAGGTTTTTCCAAAAGTATTGTTTGGTTATTCACTTATTTTTCCCAGTCATCATATAGAGTTTGGAAAAGTCAAATCACATAGAATTCTGTGAATACTGACACAGAATTATGGATTTTGCACCAGTTGTAACCCAGCAGTTGTTTCAGGATTATATTTTGGAGCAAGTGTCTTAAATGCAGGACAATAAAGATGACTCAAACATACAGGGGCAGGAAAATTAGAGGGGGCGATGATTGTAGCATACCATATTTTCCGCACTATTGGGCGCGCTTTTAAGCCTCCAACCCCATCATAAAACGTCTGCGCACCCCACAATCCAGAGCGCCCTATACACAAATCCACTCAGGTGTCCCAGCACGACTTCAGTAAACTACAAAGCCACATTACCCGCAGAACACACAAACACACACGGAGCAGACAGCGACCACACAGCGACAAACACCCACAGACACACTCATCACTCCACGCCGACGAGGAACGGAACAGAGGAACGAACCGAAAAAGCGAGTGCAATGTGCCACTTCTAGACACAACTGAACAACTGAGTCACTGCGAACACGCCGACAATCCAGCGGCCCCAGACAGCACCCTCCCTACACGCCACAACTGAACAAAGCCCAGAGTCACCGTGAACGCCACAAACAAACAAAACCACTCACCCATCACACTGTTGTTTCCTTTAATGCGCCTTATAGTCCGGTGCGGTTTATTTGTGAAAAACTTTTGAAAATAGACCATTCATTGACAAGTGCGCCTTATAATCCAAAGCGACTAATAGTGTGGAAAATACAGTAGTTAAAAGCTCACACAAGTCACTTTTGCAGCTGTCTCTAACAATGTCTTAAATCTTCAGATTAAATCCTCACACTTTTGTCCAAACAGACTCAAACCTCTGGACGTGCAGTTCATGAAGGCCATCCACAACAAAGTGAACGTGGTGCCGGTCATCGCCAAAGCAGACACTCTCACCCTGAAGGAGAGAGCGGCTCAAGCGCAGGGTGAGACATACACACTTCTCCATACAGACTTTAGACATATATACTCTGTATGTACTTAGAGTGTCCTACTGCCAAAAAGGCCCAGGTCACATGTCATTTTCCCGTTCTGTTCCGTAGATTCTGGATGAGATCGACGAACACGGCATCAAGATCTACCACCTCCCCGACGCCGAATCTGATGAAGATGAAGATTTCAAAGAGCAGACCCGGATCCTGAAGGTAGACCACTTCTTTGACCAGACGTAGTTTATGTAGCAAGTTTTTATTTTAACTCTCTCATTAAATATGCACTTTGTCACTTTTCTGGTGGGCATTCAGCTCTTGCTTGTCTCCATGGAGATGTTAATTACAGGAATGTTCTACAGCATGGCATTAAACTTGTCTTTCTTGCATTTATTGCATTAGAGATGTTTGCATTGCTTTCTCTTTAAAGCATGTATTCCTTCTACACCAAAATATCCAACAATCTGTAGGAGTGTAATGATATCCAAGTTTCACGATACGATATCGTCACAGTATGAACCTCACAGTACGATATTTATTGCAGTATCATGGGAAAGCTCACGATATGATGGGCAGGCTCACGATTAGGGATGTAGCAATTAGGGGTGTGACAAGAATCGACATATCGTGATATCGTATCGTCAAAGTTCTCACAATAATATCGTGGACCATCAATATATCGAATTACAAGTGTCTTTGTTTAAATGAAGAGTTATGGTGCAGCAATAGCTAAAAAAAAGACAGAGGGAACTACATAGACCATGATCCTTTGCTCCATTTCAGTGCAGACTACAAGAAGAAATAACAGTTCGAACACTTTTAAGTCTTAGTTCATTGAATTAAGTTTTGTCAAGGCATTTTAAGAGGAAAACGTAGAATATTCACAGTTTACCTCCAGAAAATATCACAATAAATATCGTACCGTGAGATGTATATCGTGAAAATATCGTACAGAGAGATTTGGATATTGTTACATTCCTAATCATGAGCCTCTCCACTATATCGTGAGCTTTCCCACGATATCACAATAAACATTGTACCATGAGGTTCATACCGTGACAATATCGTATCTTGAGACTTGGATATTGTTACACCCCTAGTAACAATGATAGTTTCATGAAATACATCACACGGTACAATATTTATTGCGATATTTTGTGGAGTTTAACAAAAGTGTGAATATGCTACTTTTTCCTCTTAAACTGAATTGACAAGACTTAATCCAAAGAATTTAAAGAGAGTCTTAAAAGTGCTTAGAACTGTTATTTCTTCTTGTAGTCTGCACTGAAATGGAGCAAAGGATCATGGTGTATGTAGTTCCCTCTGTCTTTTTTGAGCTATTGCTGCACTATAACTCTTCATTTAAGCAAAGAAACTTGTAATTTGATATATTGTGATGGTCCACGATACTATTGTGAGAACTTTGACGATACGACATCATCGAATATTTCAGTTATTAATAATCTGTATTTACGTGTGATGGAGCAGGTAAAATTCATGCTTATATATTGAGAATGGAGATGGCTGCTTGAAATTCCTTTTGTTGAAATGTGCTTTATTTTTAGCTTAGTCCTGTAATAGTCTTGGCTGCTTAGTGCTGTTCCGGCCTCAACTGTTCCACCTTATGATGTCATAGTAATACTGTAAGTGCTCCACTGTGTTTTTAAATACGAATCGATACACCTTCACGAGAATCATTTGGATGATTTCAGCCCTGGAACTACCAATCTCTATGAAACAAAAGGTAAAAAGTAATTCAAACTACCGCTTCATGACATCACATGATGGAACCGAACATTTTGAGCTTTGGAGATGTTGACAGACTAATAATAAAGGATTACTCAAACATGTGAATGAAACAAAACTCAACTCAGGATATGTTCTTAAGGAGCAACGTGGTCAATGTTACCTCACAAGAGTCAGTGTTAGTTAATATAGGAATTTTTAATGCAGTTCTTTAAAAATTCTGTGTCTCCTTTCTTAGGCCAGTATCCCGTTCGCGGTGGTGGGCTCAAACCAGCAGATCGAGGCCAAAGGGAAGAAGGTGCGCGGGCGGCTGTACCCCTGGGGCGTGGTGGAGGTGGAGAACCCCGAGCACAATGACTTCCTCAAACTCAGGACCATGCTCATGTGAGTGCCATCAGCCGGAGAATATGACCTAAACACGAGCAGCTCTGTTGTCATTCAAGTCTTAAAAGAAATCTCACGTTTGGAAGTGTTTTTGTGTAGATTTAGAAATAGTTGCGCAATATTTTTTTGTTGAAAAGTCTATAGAAAAAATGAACACACATAGATACATGTCAATGTGTGAGTGTGACTGATTTAGTTTGTTTTTTCATATGTATACTGCATATATTTTTTACTGTTGATTTATATATGAGTTTGAATTATTGTTGATACTTTTTGTTGAGTTTGAGATCTTGTACCGTATTTTCCACACTATAGGACGCTCTGGATTATAAGACGCACTGTTATTAAATGGTCTATTTTCGAACTTTTTTCACAAATAAACCACACTGGACTTAAAGGAAACACAACAGTGTGATGGGTGAGTGGTTTTGTTTGTTTGGTGCGTTCACAGTGACTCTGGGCTTTGTTCAGTTGTGGCGTGTAGGGAGGGTGCTGTCTGGGACCAACGGATTGTTGGCGTGTTCGCAGTGACTCAGTTGTTCAGTTGTGTCTAGAAGTGGCACATTGCACTCGCTTTTTCAGCTCGTTCCATTCCTCGTGTGTGTTTGCGTGCGCTGCAGGTGGTGTGGCTTTGTAGTTTACTGAAGTTGTGTTGGGACACCCGAGTGGATTCGTGTATGCTCTCCACTCTGGATTGCGGGGTGCGCAGTTATTTTTTGATGGGGTTAGAGGCTTATGAGCGGAAAATACAGTATATTAGTAATTCTTTAGTGGGTTGAGTTTCCTGGTTTGTATTTGTCATATTTCAGTACCAATGGAGAACTGTTTTTTTTGTTAACAGGGTAGCCATCTTAAAAGTCTTAAAAAGGTCTTAAATATCATGTTCCTAAATTAAGGCCTTAAAAAGTCTGACATTTTGTTGTCCAAGTCTTATTTTTTTCCACAAAGGTCTTAGATTTCATTAGCCTAATTTTTTATTTACTCAGTCGGGCTGCAGTGTGATGTTAAATGGAGGGAGGAAAAAAAACAATAACGTGAAAACATGTAACATGAATGAACGTCTAATTTGGAGTTTGTGCAAACAATACTTTGGTTTCTGGCGCCGGCGGCAATGAGTAAAAATCAGAGTGGAGGAAGACGTTGGATGGATCATGGATGTACGATTAGGTACAGTACTGTAGTTGTTTAGTTTGTAGTAGTTTGTTTATTAGAATTGGATCTGGTGTTTTTCACCGCATAATGAGTGCAATGTTGGTCTTAAAAAGGTATTTAAAAAGTCTTAAATTTGGGGTAATCAAACCTGGGGATACACTGGTTAAATTGAAAAAACTTGTGCGTACTGCTTTCATAATCCCTGCTGTATTTGGACTACCAGACCCCGTGTTGTTGTAGCAGTAGCTTCTCCTCACTGTATTTTCACGCTGAGTCCTGACTTCCTGTTTCCCCTCCCACAGCACACACATGCAGGACCTCCAGGAAGTGACCCAGGACCTGCACTACGAGAACTTCCGCTCCGATAGGCTGAAGCGCGGGGGCAGGTTGTCTTCGCACGGCTACATTCTGCCTCTGTCTCCTGTGTATGTACTGTCTGCTACTGCTGCTCCCTCCTCCCCCACAATGCACTCTGCTGCCAGACACCAGCCAGACGACTTAGGTTTGATACAGCCAGAGATTAGAGTATGAAAAGGAATCATGACGCAAGTTTGTTTTACAAATGGATAACTAGAGAAAACTGTAGGTGTTTTAAATAGATGCAAATGGAAGCAGACAACAATGAAGACATTTGCCTTCTTTTATTGTTCATCCATTTTCAGGTTTTTATTAGTTAGAAGATCATCTTTAATTCATCATTTTGCATGTTAACTTCATTCATAGGTTTAACAGAGTTGTAGTTTATTAGAATCTTGTTTCCACCAACTGAAAAACGCATGAAATCGTCCTGATTTCAGATGAAATGCCTTAGACCGCTTGACTAGTTTACCCAATTCATCAAATTAATTTGATTAGTTTGAGTTTTTGATGAGCAATATTGGGGAAAAAATGCAAAATCGTGAAATTGCAGATTATTATGAAACACATTTATTCCTGACTTTTTCACTTGCAATTACAATTAGATATCTATACAAAAGGCAGTTTACAATGTTTTAAATAATACCAAGAATAAGAATGTAAAGAGCTTCCCCTGTTTGAAAGATTAATAATTGTTTAGTTTGTGCAAAAAAAGGTTGATGTTACTGTTTTGGCCATATCGCCCAGCCCTAAGTTTAACCACCACCACACTGTCATTTTTTTTTAACTGTATGTAGTAGTTGTTTTTTTTTTACCTTTGGTCAAATGTAGAATCTAAACATCGATATGGAATTGCATTTGAATATTTGAAGCACCGTGACACACTTGAAGATGGTGGAAATGGGGTTCATCTGTGCAGTGTGTAGGTTGGGTTTATCCTGTAGATTTTGTGCATTAACATAGTGAGTTTTACCATTTCACTCCATATCACGTCTTTGAGTGCGTCGCCATCTTCTAAAGACAAAACAGGACAGAGGACCGGTTTGTGCAGCAGTCGAGGTATTCTCTTTATTTTGTCTGTAACTCAGGGGGAGGTCCCGCTGTTCCCCTGACCCCGCCCACTCCCTCTCTCTCTCTCTTTTCACGCCTGTGTAGAAGTCTGTGGTAGAGTTTACTTCTTCCTAACTTTAGTTGCCCAGAAACTAACGCTCCCGCCGACGCTTTCACTTTCTCCATGTGGCTTTGTCTTGGCTTCAAACATGTACACAGAGCTTACATGTAAACACAGCTTATAACAAACGATTAATACTGGCACATACAATGATTCAAATCAATTGATACTTTGCAGTGACACCATGCTGGGGGTGTTCTACGCATTTGTCTGTGGTTGAAAGTTCAGCAGTTATTGTGGTGACAAAATGAGCAAACATGAGCAAACACTGCCAGAAAGTTTAGATAATCTGAAAACTCAGAATACAAAGCACATTTTCAGGAGCCTGTTATCAATAGCTGTTCTAAAATCTGAATCAGTACTTTCTGGACAGATTTAAATCTTTAACAGAGCTTCAGAAGGAGCGGTGCCTACAGTTATCATCACACCCCCAGGGAATATTGTTGATGTCAGCTGCAAAGTATCAATACAGTCACTTTTATTTTCATCGTAACTCAAACTGACTCTTGCTCCAGGAAGGGCCCGGAGCCGGAGGAAATGGACAAAGATATGATCCTGCAGGAGAAGGAGGCTGAGGTGAGACGAGCCTTCACTGACGCTTAAATCACGTTATACATGTATGACTTATTTCACTGACGTTCCTTATTTCCCGCAGTTGAGACGGATGCAGGAGATGATCGCTAAGATGCAGGCCCAGATGCAGAAGCAGGGAGATGGTAAAGACACATTTTAGTCACATTGATTCACAATGAAGCACAGTTTGGTAAATGATGATTGAGTGATGTTTTTTGGCCCTCAGGGTTTTTGGTGAATTGATTAAAGGGCCCATCTCATGCAACATCAACTTTTCAGAGCTTTCTACCTTCTAAGAGTGATGTGTGGGCCTTGTATATGTCGCTGAAGTGGTTTTTAGATTGATTCTGTGTTTTTATTCTGCTACAACGATGACGCGGCAGATACACCTATGAAGCATTTGACGTAGCAGAAAACGCTTCGCACCCACTCCCCCCGCTCCACCGCCTCCGCCCTGCCTCCACCCCACATTTCCGAAATGAACACCTAAACAAAAGCGACAGCATGAGTTCATTGTTCTCCACTGCAGTGAACACGATATAATAAGTTGATCTACTAGTGTTTATTAATACTTTACCAATCAGTAATGTTCAGCTGATGTGGACGCGGTGCTTGAGCTTCGTGCTCCTCAAAGTCCTCGTCCGATTCCGGGTCCGACACATGCGGCTGAACGCGCTGTATCTCCATGATGAATAAAAGTTTATTCCTACCACTATCAGGGTGCACGTCTGTCTCCCCCTCCCTCCCTGAGATGGGCGGAGGAAGGGCGGCTCACTCGTCGCCTACGTCACGTTTGGAGGGCGGAGCCTGTGCTTTCTCAGGACGGGCGGGGGGAGGAGCAATAGTCGGCCTTTCATAGTTCCTGGTCTGTGACTGTCTCCAAGAAATCAGTAAGATTTCATAACTATTGTGTAATGGATGTTCCAAAGCCCAAACTGTGCTTGTTTATGTGCAGAAGATACAATGTGAAAAGAATTATTTTGCATGAGATGGGCCCTTTAAAAGCATCATTCTTTATGTCAAGTTTAAAGAAATATACCTTCATAAATGCAAGTTAGAATCTTTTTAGCCAACTGGATTTCAGCTTTGACAACTGACAACCCTAATAAGAGACTCTTGTAAGGCTCATTCTACTTGGATTGGATTGGATAATTGTCTTGAACCAAACTGTCATAAATTGGGCACCACAAAAAGTTGATTGTCTACCACATATCTAGGGACACACATAGACCTTTTTATGACATTTAAAATCAAAATCTTACATACAGTTCCTTTTTAAGTTTTCAACAATATTTTTTCAACAGAATTTTCAACATACTATATTTCTGTATTACAAATCTCGATCTCATTAATTTAGTATTTATTTGAATATACCGTATTTTCCGCACTATTAGGCGCTCTGGATTATATGGTCATTAAATGGTCTATTTTCGAACTTTTTTCACAAATAGACTGCACTGGACTTTAAAGGAAACACAACAGTTGGATGGGTGAGTGGTTTTGTTTATTTGGTGCGTTCACGGTGACTCTGGGCTTTGTTCAGTTGTGGCGTGTAGGGAGGGCGCTGTCTGGGACCAACGGATTTTCGGCGTGTTTGTGTGCGCTGTGGTTGGTGCGGCTTTGTAGTTTACTGAAGTCATGCTGGGACACCTGAGTGGATTCGTGTATAGGGCGCTCTGGATTGTGGGGCACACAGTCGTTTTTTTGATGGGGTTGGAGGCTTATGAGCATGCCCTGTAGTGCGGAAAATGCTGTAAATAATTCAGTTCATCTGTATAATTCCCATGGAAAAGTTCAGAAAATTCCTGAGATTTTTTGCTGCCCTTATCGCAACGCTGAAACTACACCTCATATATCTCCTCTTAACCACATTTTTCTTCTTTTCAGATCTTTGAGTTGTTGCCAGATTTGGGCCAGACGTCTCAGCCTGGACTGTTACTGCCACTATCCTGCGTCAGCCCAGAGTGGGATTTCCTTTGTACGACATATAGTCTATTCACGATGTTTCTTTATCCATGTTACTTTGTTGCTTGCTTTAACGACCTTTTTTATTTGTATTTTATGAAGCAGTCGAATGAAGTACGGCCACCTGACTTTTTAAAAACGCTGTTACTTTTAGTGTCCTTATTTACGTTTGAAAAACCAAAGTCCTGCTGCTTGTGCTTTGGGTCGGTCGGCCTTAAAGCGCCTTTGCTCTCTGAAGGGCTGAAATGGGAGTAGCATATTTGGCAACACTTTAAAATAAATACAGTTTTAATAGCCTTAAAGGTGCACTATGTAACTTTTCTGGTGTAGGGTCCACAACCGGAACAAGCGTTAATTTTACATAATAAGGGGCATTCTTAATTTCTATAAAAAAAACATCCATATTGAAAATGAAATGTGTCTATCCTGTTTATCCCTGAGATATTCAAAATAACATATGGCAAAGTAAAACGGTTTTCCAGCTGGATCAGGGCTTGTTTCGGTGACTTTGAAGGTGCATTATGTAGCTTTTCTCATGTAGGCTTCGCAATCTACTTATGTTATTGCTTTGCCTGAAATGTTACACAGTATGGCATTAAATGTATCTGTCTCCATGAAGACAAGCACGTGACTCTACCATGCCAAATTACAAGTCAAATCTGATTTCATGTTTTTTAAGATATTTGAAAAGTGCTTTACCTAATCCCCAACCAAAAAGTTACATAGTGCACCTTTAAGTCTAATTAAAATGTTGTTATTTTAAAGTGGTACCTCATATTTATACATTTGCCAACAAGAACTCGGAACATAACATTTGAAGTATATGTTTTGCATGCATTTTTGACCCTGTTGTACGTGGGCTGTAGTTTTACCTTTGTAAGAAACAGTATTATAAACGTATGAATATTCTGCCATAGAAGCTCCACTCCTGTTACTCTAATGTCTATTTTTGGTCAGAAGTTACTATTTACTGCCAAATCCTGCGGGGTTGAGATAAAAGTTCGATGTAGCCAGTGTTTCCCAGTCACCAGCCAAATGACATTCCTACAGTCTGGTAGATACAAAGAAATTCCAAATGCTTTTATTGTAATAAAGGTTTTATTCAACTTTACTCGTGGGTCGTCTTTGTGTGTGAGGAAAAAAAACGTGGTGAATTTGTGCAAAAAAATCAAACTGTTTTCTGCAGCTCCTTTCTGATATAGTATTGTCTGCTTAACTTATCAACTTTTTTAAAAAAAAAGGTAAAAACTTGAGAAATGGGTAGTACTGTTGTTAAATTTACATATGTTTGCACTTCTCTGAGTAGTTTTCAAACATCTCACTTTTACACCTACTTTTTAAAATTAAAGTTATAGTATTTCATTTTCTGGAGGTGTAAAATCAACAAGTTTTACTGTAAACTATGGAACAACATTTCCATGGAAACGAGCAGGATGAGGCCCACCTCCAGGCCAAATAGGAGTCAGGTTTGTGGAGATGCAAGCCCACTCACAGTAGGGACACATGTTTCAGTTTTTCAGGGCTATAAAATCATCTATAATAAAAAGTCATGCTTTTATTTGAGTTTATTTTTGCCCCAGAAAAGTAACAGTTCTCTTAAAGTGTCTTTGTGTTAACTGATGCAAATTTTGAAACGTCAGAAATAAAATATATCAAAGTAAAACTAAAAAAGCTGGACCAGGTAGTTCATCAGAGCATGTGTAGGTGACTGTGATGCCCCAGATCAGATAGAACTATGTATGGGAAAAAAAATATATAATAGTTTTTTAATGATAATGAATGACACTGCTGTAATTTTCCATAGACTTTTATTATATCTTTACTCTTGGTCTAACAGTTATACACAACGCCCTACATGTCATGGCTCTGTTTTAAATACTCTCCTCTTTTAAACACAAAAAACTGTAAAAATATTTAATTATAGCTAATCCACCGTCTGGTTTGTATGGGCAGTAAACAGAGGGAGGTGGGAATGTAGGGACCCTGCGGAGGTCCCGGTCTGACATCCGAAGAATGGACAAAGGTCAAAGGTCAAAGATGAATGTGAAGAAGTGACGCTCTCATCGCGAAGAAGGGGCTGTGTTACCGTTCAGAGAAAACCTGCCAGGAAAACAAAAGGGAAAGTACAATAAAAGAAAAGGAATACTAAAATGGTAAGGGTTTGCAGATTTACTTAAGTAACTTTTTAAAGAAATAGTACGTTTTGAGCAGCAAACTTCTACTCCTACTTCAGTAATATTTTTTATTGAAGTTTTAGTTACTTTTACCACTGTGACAAAATAATAATAATAATACATCGGACTTATATAGGGCTTTTTTGGACACTCAGAGACGCTTTACAAACAAATAAAGCATTGCTGGAGAAAACGAGGGGAATCATGAGGGCATGCCAGATTGAACAGGTGACTTTTTAGTAGTTATTTGAAGTGCTGCGGTGAGTCCGAGTTCTTGATGGATTGAGGGAATGAGTTCTAGAGAGAGGGGAGGGGGAGGCGGTGGCGAAGGCTCAGTCCCCCAAGGTCCAGTGCTTCGTCCTAATGAGGGGAGTGAGGAGGTGCTTCGTCCTGATGAGGGGAGTGAGGAGGTGCTTCGTCCTGATGAGGGGAGTGAGGAGGTGCTTCGTCCTGATGAGGGGAGTGAGGAGGTGCTTCGTCCTGATGAGGGGAGTGAGGAGGTTCCTGTGGGCTGATCTGCGGCGGTAGGTGGGAGAGGACAAGCGGGGGAGGTCGGTGATGTAGGTGAGGGACTTGTATTGAACGCGGTATTGTACAGGGAGCAAGTAGAGTTACTTGAGGACAGGAGTGATGTGGTGTCTGGAGGGGGTGTGGGTGAGGAGGCGGGAGACAGAGTTCTGGATGTATTGCAATTTTTGGAGGTGGGTGGAGGGGAGAGCGTACAGTATGCTTATGCAATAGTCAAGTCTGGAGGAGATAAAGGCATGAATCAGGATTTGTGCGGTGGACTGAGAGAGGGAGGGGTGGAGATGAGCGATGCTTAGGGAGATGGAAAAAAGAGTTTTTAGCGATATGGGTTCTGAATGAGAGCGTAGGGTCCATGATGATGCCAAGGCAGAGGGAGAGGAGGTAACAGTGTGGTCATCGATGAAGAGGGAGATGTTCTGAGCAGTAGGGAGGAGAGCTTTGGGTCTGGTGATGAGCAGTTCCTGCTTTATTGCTCTTAAGTTAGAGGAAATGGTCTATCCAGGTTTTAAAGTCAGACAGCCAGTTTGAAATGGTGGAGAGAATTAGTTTGATGCAGATGTGAAGCTGAGTGACATCAGCGTAACAGTGAAAATGGAGACCACGGTGACGGATCAGGGAAAGCACGTAGATGATGATGATGAGGAGCAGGGGGCCGAGCACTGAACCTTGGGGGACACCAGCCATGACAGGGGAGGAGTGAGATTCTGAGTTATTTATAGAAAACTCTATGCTGACAATGTGAAATGAGTTGAACCTTTCTGTTTCTTTTCTACACTCCTTCAGTTTTCTCATTTTTGTGTCTATCCTTTGAAAACACCAGATTTCGTGCATTATTTTATGTTTTGACCAATTACATTAACTTCAAATTGTAAGTCAGATCTTACGTCCTGACAGTTACTCTTACTTGAGTAGCAGTTTTCCCAAATAATTTTTCACTCTTATTTGAGTATTACTTTGTACTTCTACTTGAGTAATACTATTTTAAAGTAACGTTACTCTTACTCGAGTACAATCTCTGGCTGCTCCACCTGCCTCCTGAGTACTAATAAAACAATACTTGTGTTCTGAGTTTTGACCTGCACACTCTCTCCATCATGTGCGTGACCAGTCGGTCTGAGATGCCCGGACAGGACTCTTCTGCCAGGTTAAAGGCGTTCTCCAGCTCCTCTATGGCGCCCACACCTCCTCCACTCGCCCGCCGCTTCTCCTTCAGCTACACACAGACACACACTCACAATCTGGGCTCATCATCTTAACGCATCACGACACTTGATTAAAGGTTAAAGGGCCCATATTATGCTATTTTCCAATCTGTTATAATGTTTCCTCATCACAAACAGACCTGCAGTTGTTTTTTGTTTCATTCACATGTTTAACACACAAATCCTGCAGATTTAGGCTGAGTTCTTCTCACAAACTCCTGTTCCCCCTTGTGATGTCACGTGGTGATACAGGAAGTGCTCCACTGTGTTTTAAACTCCACACACCATCACTACAACTGTTTGAAAAAAGAATCCCAGACTATTGAACAAAAGGTAAAAGGTAGCAGTTAACTTGAAAACTGCCACTTCATGACATCACAAGGTGGAACAGAGCATTTTGAGTTTTGGAGATGTAGACAGACGAACAATAAAAGATTATTCAAACATGTGTGAATGAAACAAAACACAACTCTAGGTCTGTTTTTGCAGGTAACAACATTAAAACATGGCTTAAAGTTCACAAGGATCCATTTTGAGTAATATAAAACCTTTAAATTAAATAACTGTGATTGTTTGAACTTACCTCTCTGAAAATGGGCGTTACCAAAGCAGACAGGCACTGGGATTTTGGTTGCCGTAGCACAGACTCTCCAGGCAAAGGCTAAAATTAAAAAAAAGAAAAACTTAATGTAAATGTGACTTTCAAACCAGATGAAACCACACATATGAACGAGTGAATGTGTGAATGTCGTCACCTCTCGTTCTGTGTGGGAGTAGTCCTGCTGCAGTGTGCCCAGGGTCGAAGGTCGGACAGTGGGGAAAGACCACATGGGACCAGGCTCTACGTCATCGGCATCCCTGAAAAAACACAAAAAACACCCCACATGCAGTTTGAATAAAGGCATGTTTAGTAGTATTTTGCTCTGCTAGTCAAAACCATAGACTGTATAAAGAGGTGTGTGTGATGTCAACCATAGCGTTCAGCTCCAGTCAAATGAAGCACATCAAGGGCAGCAGTTAAAGGGACAAATCTAGAGCCAAGTTCCATATTGGGAATTTTGCCTGCAAGTATCACAGCAACCAAAGAGCCAATCCTGAGCGAGGCTGCTGAAGGTAACGCCCGTTCCCTCCTGCCCCACCGCTCGCCGGACTGACCTCAGGGAACATCTTGCTTTACAGAAAAAATTGTGACCTAAAAACACCAGTATCGTCACCAGTATATTAATCTACATTTTAAGATCAAAAGCCTGACGAGCCTGACAGCAGCAGTTACGGACAGAGAGGGACTGCTACCCTCAGTGAGCTTCATTTGACTGGAGCCACACCCTATGGATAATGTCACATTCACTAAGTCCACTTCTTTATACAGTTTGTTATATCCTCCGGAGACCCAGCCCGTTCATTTGTGTCCTTTATAGTGGACATTGAGTTAACCAGTCTGTCTTTTACGTGTTTTGAGATCGACTCTTAATGGGGGGATTAGGTTCCTCTGCTTAAATAGGGCTGGGGGATTATAAGGCACTATCATGTCCAGGATAAAAAATAAAAATAAAAAAACTCAATAGGAGTTAGTTTGTGGCTGCACTATGATAGATTAAAAAAAGAAGAAATTAAAAGTCTAAAATTAAGAGTCTAAAAATGTTTTGAGGCGACTGTAGAAGCTTGTCAGAGATGTTGGTCACCATGTTTTAGTTGTTTTTTGTTGTTAACTTCACATGGATTTAACATCAAAATGTCCCCAGTGTCCATTAAAGAGGACACGTTATAAAAATAAAAATAAAAATAAAATGACCAAAATATAAATGCTAAGGTGTTCATTTACCTCCAAATAGATAGAAAATCAATACACTTTTTTTCTTCGGGTCCCAGGAGGATATTATATAACTTGAAATGATGTATTTTTCAGGAAAATGTAATTTTAGAGGAGATCTGTTCGTACACAATGCTTGCATTAGGCCAATAGAGAGTGAACATGTTGAAAAAGCTATAAGAAGTATGAATAATCAGCAATGTGAAGCTACTGCAGTGGGTACCCATCTCTAGATCTTGAGCTATTCATGGTCAGAACTAGAGGTCTGCACGAGACAGAATTTTCAGTCCCGCTCCCACCCGCTCCCGCAAAGAATTGTAATTATCAGTCCTGCTCCCGCCTGCATCTGCGATATTTTGTTCCGCTCCCACCCGCAAATCCCGCAGGATGGGAACCT